TGATACAAAAAACAGGAAAAACATTTTTACTCGATTATATGCATCCAAAGATTATCATGAAAACAGATGACCGCACGATCAAAATTAACCAGGGTTTTGACCAAAGTTTTTAAATGAACTAAGACTCTCAAGGAGACACCCAAAAGTACTCTCCTCTAGCCTCTAGCAGCTTATAGTATGAGAAGCGCTTTGAAAACAACGGAACTAACTAAAACGCTTTTGCGAAAATAACTAAAAAGAATAAAAACTAAAACTGACTTAGTAAAAGGTCCAGATATATATATAATGTAAAAGATTTTTCAGAGCTAAAGGAACGAGCAGCAAAAGGTAGTTGAAAACTCGACAAAATTTCGACTCTGGAATCGCAAAACTGTTGATTTTGCATGCCGCAGTCACACCACTCACATGACAAAAAGTTTAGAGCCAATATCTTTCATAGTTTAGAGCCAATTCTTTCATGACAACAACTATTTCACAGAACTTAGCAACTGCCGCTCTTCTCAAAGAATCCACTTAAAAAAATATAATTTACTCTATCCATGCTCCACTAGAAAAACTTACAACTTATAACCTTCCTAAACCCCAGATGGGTGGAACCAGTTCAAAATAAGTATTTGATATATCCAATTATATTCTTTACAACTATCACTGTAAAATACTTAGAACTAACCAATCATGATCCATGACTAAACTTACAAAAAACTGTAAGGCTGAAATTTTATAGCCCTGAAGATTCCGAATGACTTTTAAGGTCTATGGAGCAGTGATAATATGAAGAAATTAAATGTAATAAAATAAAACGAAAATTTTTTTTTCTTAATTTTTTTGAAATTTATGAAAATCATCACCCCACACGCCATATAAAAATTAAAAGGATAGATTTCGCTCCTTGTAACAAATCAATTATGGCAAATAAGCTTCTTTTAACCAATTTGAAACAATTTGGTTGCAATTAAGACGGATTTGGTTGAAATTATCTAATAAAAAAAATTTAAAAAAAAAATTAAAAAAAAAAATTGAGGTTTCTTGTGAGAAAATCACCAAACACGTCACATTAAGTAGAAAGTGATAAATTTGCTACTATTAACAATTCAAACATGGCATATAAGTTTTCTTGAACCCATTTGGAACGATTTATACGACGGATTAAATCTCGCTTACGCGTCATTAGCGCGAAATATATCGCGCGTTAATTGTCCCAAATTGGCCAAAATGGCAATCTTTAACCCCCATAACTTTATGAAAAGTGATCACAAGTGAAATATCTTTTCAAATTTAGGCTCAAGACAACAATAGTTTTCGAATGATTTGAAAAAAAAATTCCGCTAAAAAAGGCTAGTTTAAAATTCGAAATTTGTCTGAATAAAAAAAATCACCCTGAGGACAAATATTCCGTAAACTTCGTTACGAAAGTCGGAACAATAAAGCTAGTATTTCTAATTATTTCCAAACAATTCTCAATGAGCTCTCAATATATTTTAAAAGAAAGAAAAAAGCGTTTGCCTATCACAGAGTATGCAAAATTTAAGTAAAAATTCGAATAAACTTCCAAACTTTTGTGATACATGTTTCGGTTCTTGTTGTTTAGAATTTTGGATCTTCGTTTTTGAGGTTATTGATGTTCATTTTCTAGCTAACAAGAAGAGACTGAATTAATTAATGAGCCACAAAATTTAGTTAATATTAAAGCATACTTTATTCAATCCACTAAACATTTTGGGCCTGGCAAATAAATAGTCTTAAAAATAAAAAAAGTTCAGAAGAGTTTTCGTCGAGACGGAGAAAATTTTGTAAACGTTTTCAGAATAATCCAAATCACAACTAATAGGGTTTTATCATGATACTTCCCTTCACTCATCTCAATATTTTTTTGAATTCATCTAAAATGGAGGAAAAAATTTCACAACGGAAATTACGCCATAGTTCCTTCCAACTTTCCGACGAGTGATTCGCACAACAAAAGCAAGTTGCTGCACGTAGCACAGAAATTTACTATCGTTAATTAACGAGAACGAACGAGAATTTTTTTTGGGAAAAGCGTAACAATTCAATTTAAGAGGAGGCGAGAAATTTTTATCTCACGACGTATAACAATATCTGTTTTTTTTTCAAATCACGAAAACAAAAAAAAAGTAAGAAGGGAACAATTTATTTTTATTTATAGAAATTATCCAAGAAAAATCAATTTGAAAGAACGCCAAAATAAGCTGCCTATCGAAAAATGTCAAAATATGCAGTTGTCTTATTTGTTTTCTGACTACCAAATTCGAGTACAATATTTATTATCATAACTGTACAAATCGCGTCTGCGATGCAGAATTGAGCTTAGTTGATTGTTTTGACAAAATATCCAGTCCTCAATTGATATTTGGTTTAACTTGTAGAAACTGTTTTTTGAAGACTGAACTGTTTTTGACTTTTTTTGAGATGACTAGTCAAATTGTCTGTTTGCTGTAGTCAAAATCTTTTTTTTGGATAAAGCATCTACAATTTCTGCTGCTTGTTTTTATTGTTATCAGGCACAGATGCCGACTAATCAATTTTGTCATTATTTCAGTTATTCGCAGACATGTTGCTTATTTGAAGTTTGCCTTTCAGGCGGTAAATTTTTAACAGAGGCCAAGCTGAAATTCGCGCCATTTGCGATACAGAACAAGAAAGGCCGAAAATATCTTGTTAGAAATCCTTTAAGCCGAAAAAAAAATCAACAAGATTTATGAAAAGTTGATTAGGCCCCCTCGACCTCAAAACTCACAAGCACTCAAGAAGCTTTAAATACTCGTCAAATTAATCAATAGGAGGCCACTAAACCGATATAAATTAAACCGCGACCTATTTAGCCTAGAAAAAAAAGCCGAACAAAATTCAAAAATGTTTATGACTAATAAGAAGTTATTAAGTCCCCCTCACCCTCAAAACTCAGACACGCACACAAAAACTTTTTTCACTCATCAAACGACCCTTTATGAGATCAATAAGCCGATAGAATAAGGGCCAAAACCTAGGAAACCGAAAAAGAAAAACCGAAATTAAAATTTTTGTTATGAAAAACTTGAACTTAATTTCTACACGCTAGCAAAGCTACGTTTCGTACACACTTTCAAAAACACGACCAAAAGCAGTTCATCAAGTGACGCAAGAAAAAAGAGCAATAACCCTCCGAATTTCAAAAAAAAACTGAGGCGTAGAAAAACGTAGCAAATTTAAGCCTAACACACTAACCATTCAGCCACAGATCCTTATAATCCCCAAAAACTAGCGAACAATAAGCAGCTACATATGCTAATAAATTGCCAATTCGATGCAGCAAAATTAGCAACAACTACAAAAAGCTACAATTTTGCAATTAAAAAACGCAGCAACTTTGTAATTAAAAATGCATCAACTGTGTAAACATATAACTATTCGAATGTCAAAGCACATGTTATCAAAAAGCTGTAAAGGAGCACCAAATTGCCAAATCGATGCAGCAAATATTGTTGCTTTAATTTGCAACAATATTTGCGACCTAGTCGCAACAAAAGTCACACACAGCCACGAAGCTGCACTTCGCATACACAAGCAAATGAAAAAGAAAAAATATCAATTGCACATGCCTCAGTTTTTAGAGCGGACGCATTTTAGATAGTATACGAAAAAAGTTCATTAAAAAACATCCAACCCTACCCAGGTTCGACCCTCTTATTTTGTTGCTTTTCTCCTCCCTACCTCTACGCTACAGATCCATACTACCTTGAAGCTTAAGTGCTTTTTTAAATACCAAACTGCTCGTATCAGGGCACTTATACCCAACACGCCATATAACCTACAAAGTCATATATTTCACTCCTGGTAACAAATCAATTATGACAAATAAGCTTCCTCAACCAATTTGGAACGTTTTCTAAGACGGATAAAAATCTCTGCTTACGCGTTAATAGCGCGAAATAAATCGCGCATTTATTTCCCCTAAGTGACCAAGATGTTAATTTTCAAACCCCCATATAACTTCACGAAAAAAAATTTCAGGTAACATATCTTTTCAAATGTAAGATTAGGACAAAAATACATTTTGAAAGATAAAAAGAAGTTCCGTCTTTAAAAAACATCATATGAAATATCAATATCATTGGTTTTTTAGGCTTAAATTAAACTAGTTAAGCTCTCTGACAGAGAACTGCCTTATTCCCTGAAGGCAGATCTCTGATCCTGAAAAGGCAGCATCACACATTGCTGGTTAGATTAGGGTAAATATCCATTCGAAATTTACATGAATTTTTTTTAGAAAAAGCTTTGATCATAACTATCTCGACTCTTTACCTGCACGTTCCTTAAACATCATAAAAATTTCATGAGCATTTTTTCAGAAAACAATTTTTGTTCATTATTATTATGATTATCATTATTGAAAATAATCGAGTGACAGATAGTTTTTTGCGGTTTGCTGACTGTTTTTGCATTATGTTTTCATAACTCTTTTCACATAAGTTTGAGAAAACGAAAGTTAAATTTTTCGAGAAAACCAGCAAAAAATTACCTCCTTTTTAGCTAAAATTCGCTTTGCTTTTGAATACTTAAGCGCATTTCGAGAAAACTATGTAATAAAAAAAATTTTCAAAGAGCGTTAAAAAATTAAATCTACTATTTCTAATTTAAAATTATGCACGATTTCTCCCGCAATTAACACTTTTATTAATGGAAGCCTAATTTGCCTCAAATTTAATAACTGAACATGATGTGAACAGTTGAACCTCACAAAAACCATACTGCCATGAAAAACTTAATGAGAGGGAAAATCACACAAGCTAAATAATTTCGTTAGTATCGTTAATTCTTTATTATGATATCGTTCCTTAACACTTAATAAATAAGACTCACATTGAGCTCTAAAGCCTCTTTTCAGCAAACATATAGAAAGAAAGACCATTAGCCTCATTTATTATTTTTAAGTTTTTTGTTAGTTCAGATGAAAAACCAATTCGAAATTTCTCAATTGAAAGCAATAACTTTTACATCAAACAAACAAGAAACAAAAATTTTCCGTGACATAATTTTCAATTTCAGCAATACATAATAGTCAAAACAATTCATTTTATGTCTAACAGAAACTTGTATTTAGAATCAAACTAATGTTTTATCCAAATCTGATGAGCTTTTTTCTCCATTATACAGAATAAATTTCTTGCGTGAAAGCAACTTGCTTTGGGTCAAGGAATCCAATAGCCACTCACGACTGATCAATGGTAGGCAGCACTCGTCTGCTATTTTTCTGATAGAGGTGGAGAAGTCATCATCCACGAGGAGTATGCGGCGTCTACTTCCATAGCAGTCCTGTTACAAAGTAACAGATGGTACCACTTAATTGGTTGAATTTGTACAGCGGGTTCTCAAATATGAAAACTAGCTTAGTACAACAGCAAATTAATACAAAAAATCAATTTCACGTGTATTAAAATAAAACAGTCACCAGCAAAAAGAGTCAATGAAGCCAAAAACACCGAAAAAAAAACAACTTTTGAAGAAAACCAATACAGCTTTAAATGCGTAATTTTCAATATTTGAAAAAATGGACTTTAAGCTGAGCCCTGGTGTTTTTCTGCTCAAGTAGGGGATTAACCTCTTATTTAAAGAAGAGCACTGCTACTCACTCTTTCAATTGAAGTCTTTATCTCAGATTTGGCTGGGTAGCTTTCGAAAAAAGTGAAAAGGATTCCAAAATACAATAAACTTTTCCTACATCCATAAATTCTTTTCTACTAAAGTATGGGAATAGCCTCTACTTTCAACAGCCTGATTTCTAGATTAAAGATTTCCAAAATCTGATTTTTTAAATTAGATTGAGTCCTTAATATCAGATTTAGCTAGTAGTTTTCGAGAATAGTGACGAAATTTCTTTAAAAAATGTAAACATTTAAACAAGAAATTTTTCTGAAAACCATAACAGCTTTGTATAAAAAAAACAGGGTAAAACAGATTAAGCAGGGAAAATCCACGCGCCATGTTAGATTTAATGAACGATCAACCACAGAATCAACAGGTTAGTTTTTGAAAAAAAAAATGAGTAACTTTCCACAAAACGGGAAAATTGGACATTTTCTAAGGCCATAATTTTTGTTTAAAAAGGCAGGGCATAGCCGCTTCCGCAGGTAAATATCGCATAACTGATTTTCTGTCTCCTAATCTCCAACTTGGCAGGGCAGTTTTTGAGAAAAGTCAAAAAGTTTTAAAAATTAAGCAAAATGTCAAAAAACGGGCTTGTTTGAGGCCATAACTTTTTCTACCAAATTTAGATAACAGCCACTTGAGAAGGGGATATCCCATATTTTTTTCTTTACCTTCTTCTCTGATTTGTGCATTTAATAATTGAGAATATGAAAAAATTCAAAAAAAGTACCACTAAAATCTAACTTCTGAAACTTTCGAAGGCCGTAGAACGTGAGGTAAAATGAAAAGAGACAATATAAACATACATGCACATAGAAGAGCAGCCGGTTTTTCCATTGACTCCATTTTTTTGAAAATCGGCTCGGTAGTTTTTGAGAAAAATTGAAACTTCCGCGAAAAGTGCAAAAAAAAAGTTCAAAGCGTACATTTTCATAATACATGTTTTCTTTTTCAAATAGGACCTAAAACTAACCAAAAACAAAGCAGCAACTTATGTCATTAAATTTATGCTTAAATAAGCCTAAATATTTATAAATTGAAATATACTGAAATTGCCACCAAATGAGCACTTTTATTTAGAACTTAGGTTAAAAAAAATTCTTTGTAATAATACACTACGTTTCGTTTGTGTAACTGAGTAGTTTTTATTTTGTTCATTGACAATTTAAGTGTTACCATGCAAATTAAGTTTCCATTAAGGAATATTATAGTTGCATTGCATTGCACAAGCCAGATTAAGCAGTGCATTACACAAGCCAGATGAAATAACCTGTGTATGAGAATCAAGCATAACTTAACATTTTACCGATAATGAAAAGATAACCGATGATCGACCTTTTTAAAGTTTTTGCGGTCGTGTACGTAGATTCCACCAGCATTTTTGATGAGTCTCTCTATCACTTCGATCCCCATATCACCAAACTCTGCCGGACAGTGGAAGGCACAGAACCCCAACAGGTGGTCACCCTGGAAACATGAAATTGATTACTTCAACTCCAGATACATTTTTTAAAGAATTTTTCCAGAGCCTGTCCAAAACAGGAACAGATTCATTCACGTCAAATCTTCCATAATAAAAATACAATTGATTCTTCTTACAGTTAGCCGTCTCTGTCTTGCCCTGGCCGGTCCCATGTGACTCAGCCCGAATATCATCTCTCCTTCTATCTCGAAGTCAGCTTCATGTGCTCTCCTCCCAAGCTTGGCACACTCTTCGATCCCTATTAGCAAGCATTTCATACTTTACTTTATATAATGAACGAAAGGATAACGAATCTACTTTTATTACATTACTGCTGTAGCGTGATAGATACTGATAATTCTTGATGCATGCTCTGCATGTTTTTGAAATTATAGCTGCACGAATACAAGATATTTTTCCTGGAAAATAAGCTCTTTGAATTTCTGGAACGAATTAAGATTGGCGCTTTTTTTGATAACATGAACCCAACTAGAGAAAACTGGGTCAACAGGTAAAGATTTTTTCAGCTTGAAATCTAAAAATTAAATTCCTTTTTCGAAACTAGAAATCGTTCACGTTTTTTCGCGCCATTTTCACGTTCGTATTTGGAGAGTGCTATTTACGCCACTTTCAGCAGATGTATTTCAATTGAACTCAAAAAATGCATATATACCTAAGGCCATACATAAACGCATCAATATGTATGAATGCACATCTGTAGTTATTAGAAGAGACTTTTCCTAACAAAATTTTAAAAAAAAACAAAAAAAAATCAGCAAGACCTATAAAAAGAGTCTTCACTACGTTCATTACTCTTTAAAAAGCAGATTTTGGATAAGGTGTGTGAAAAGTGAAAGAGTTGAGAAATACATCCAACCTTTCAATGGACGAAGAAACGGGAAGCGAAATATCACTCGCTGTTTTCTTCAAACATTTTTTCCGGTTTTCGAAATGTTAATTCATGAACATAGCCAACTGACACTTTGAAAAGAGCGATGAACACAAGGGAACAAAAAATTGACTTGTTTAAAAAAAACAATTCGAACTTGAAAAAAATATATATATGCCCTACAATTTTTGACCAAGGTTTTTTTTGGTAAAAACAACCTAATTTGAGAAAATTGAATCAAAAGGTAAAATTTTTATTCAGCTGAGAAATTTGATAACTAAATTCCATTTTTGAAATTAGAAGTCGATCACGTTGTTCGTTACCTTTACACTTTGCTGTTCGATTTTTGCTGTTCAGCAAAAGCGTTTGATAAGCAATTTACAAATGCTAGGAATCATGCATCCGACAGGTTATTCAAGAAAACTTATCAAAATTTCTTCCCTCGACAAACTGAACAAGCCATTGCGGATAGAAAACCCTCACGAACACTCGTTCAGCATGGTCTATAACATGAACCCAACTTCCACATCAAGCGTTTGATAAGCAATTTACAAAAGCTAGGAATCATGCATCCGACAGGTTATTCAAGAAAACTTAAAAAATTGCAAAAATTTCTCTCCTCGACAAACTGAACAAGCCATTGCGGATAGAAAACCCCTCACGAACACTCGTTCAGGATGGTCTTTGTAATGTCCACATCAAACTTCTCGGTCCTCTTGCATTTGATTACTTGACCTATTCATTTAACGATGCGCTGTTTGATAATATTATCCACTATGTGGAAAAATTCCAAGGTAATCCTCCTGCCCGAACCTGAAAAGGACCAAAAAATTTTCAAATCCCACAGGTCTTTTTCACTTTTGTGCCTGCTGTCAAAATTTTAGAGAGGCTCATCCATCCTTTTTTACCAAAGCATCTCCCAAATGACACACCAACAAGGGTTCCGGCCATTCCACTACACAACAACCGCTCTCTCCGCCCTTGAATTTCTTGATCACCGATGGCTTTTAATGCTGCTTACGTACTGTTCTCGCTACGTATTTGATAAGGTATGTCATAGAACACAAGTGGAACTCATTCATGACACACCTCTGCCACGAGGTATAGTTCGCTGGCTCAGCAACTATTTATGTAGCCGACAAACGACAACCATTTTTAACAGCCAAGAATCCTCCCATAGAATTTTTCACTGTGAATTTCCTCAGGTTTCTGTTTTATCACCGACTCTTTCTAACTTTTATGTCCATGAAACCCCTCCGTCCCCCGAATATGCTGATATCTCAACTCAAACGACGATTATTTCCACCCCTTCGCCCAAAGCCCCAAAATCGAGGCAGCATCGCAGTCACTAAAGGTTATCTGCACCATCTTTTAAATTTATCACCTCCAGTAGCCTAGCATTCGCGTCCTCTAATGGATCAGTTACCTTGCTTTCGTCCTACAACAAAGATTTTAACAAAACTGTTTTTAAACAACGAGCATCTCCCTCTTAACACAAATCGAGGTCTGGCGAGAGGATCGTCGAAGTATAGGAGTCTTGAAAGCGTAAGAAGGTTCCTCTTGGGGTCTAAAGAAACCCTACTTCAAAACTAAATAGACTGAATTCGGCCTGTTTTAGATTATGCCTCGACGGGCTGGGCGCACGCCACCAGCAAAAGTTCTACTCACCTGCAGGTTAAACAAAATCAAGCCCTCCGTTTATTCACTGGCCAAATCTTTAGAGCTGAACTGCCCACCTGCACAGTGAAGTCGGGATTCTGAAAGTTCTAAGCCACAATTCCCTTCTCGGTTTTTAACTCCACATACCGTTCGGCATCACGCAAATGTATTTTAATACTCTGAACCCCAACCCCACGTCAAGTTCCACAACCCAATTTAATTGCTTTTAAGATGACACAGATTCTCTTTTAACCGATTAAATCCGTCACTAAATCTTTGCGACTCAAGAAAAAGTTGCCACTTCTTTCGTTTTTAACCTCTACAAGTCCCTTCTAAAACAAAACGATACTAACCTCCTAACTAAATTCCCAGCAGAAAACCCTCTCTCAAAAATATGTCTTCCAACTCCAAACACCCACCCCTCTGAGAAGTCCCTTCCCAGAACCAACCGCTGTAAGCTTCCCCAACTTCGGTCTGTTACAGTCGGCGTTTGAACACTTACCTTGCCCGCTTAGACAACAAAGCTTCCCCACTTTGCCTTAACTGTCTCTTGCCCTACACTAGTTGCCATATTTTCAAATCCCTCCTCTTTTACTCCAGTAGACCTGTGGTTAAGGCCGGTGGAAGTACCGAAATTCCTTAGCAAGGAGACGGATGAGCTGAACCCTGCCAGAAAAGGGCTAAAGAAAGTAAGAAAGAATAGAGAGCAATGTAAGCAGGCCAATCCAAAACACTTATTCCAACCCAAAGGGAGGCGGAGTCTCGCAACACTTGTGATTAATCATAAAAACAGCTTAGTGAGCTAGCGGCTAGAAAATGAGAGGAAAATGATTTAAGAAAAAAATGATTTTAATGAGCGCAAGAGTTTTGAAAATTTCTTAAATACATCTCCATAAACTTTAAGATGATCTCCAGATAATGAAAGAATCGAAAACAAAACATTTCAAATAACAATTACCAACGTTGATTGAGCTTCGAAAATAATTACCGAGCGGCAACTAAGCCGACAAAACTTGGAGACGCCCGTTGAGTTCCTAAAAAATTTTAGCTACTTAATCTCAAAAATTTAAGCCTCAACCCTCCCGTAACACACAAAAGCGCACAAAGTATTGATGACCTTACGGCCCAATAAAAGGTCTTTAAGTCGACATAAGATTTTTAAAAAACCATTTAAGCGGAAAAAACTTTGGAAACAAATCATCACGACTTATATACAGGTCTTCACTACGTTCATTGATACTGAATTATTCGGAATCAGATTGTAACAAATCGAATAGAGTTGAAGTTTCAAAAGTAGACAAGCTCAAAACATAGCCAACGGAAAGATAAAAAAACTTTAAATTAACAAAGATCCCGAAAGAAAATTCAATTTTAAAAAAACTTCAACTTACGATAAAAAAAGGAAAACAGGTTAAATATCTTTAAATTTCAAGAACAATTTCTGATTATCACTTCTGTGATAATGTTAATCCAATTTAAGAAACTGGATCAATGGAGTAACATTTTATTCCGCTGAGAAATTTTAAAACTAAAATCAATTTTCGAAACTTAGAATTCGTTCACGTTTTTTCGTACCATTTCAGCTTTCGTAGTTGGAGAGCGCTGTTTACCTAATTTTAGAAGATAAATTTAAAAGGAACTCAAGAAGCACATTTTACCTAAGTGCATTCATAGATGCTTCTCTATGTATGGACGCACTTCTCTAACACAGAGGTGAAGCTTTGCTTCGCAAACACTAGCGAGAACACGACGAAGAACAGCTCTATTAAGGACAAAACGAAAAAGTAGAAATAAGCCTCGAAACAGTAAAAATTCGGCTAGATCTCGGAATTGCTCTCTAATGAACTGCGACCTAGAGATTACGAGTCTCACGCACGAACCACTCAGATCCCGACGCTTAACAAGTCACAAACAATAGCCACAAATAAAGCAGAGAACAGATGCTATAAAATTTCCAATGCTACAGATCGTGATTATAGCAAATAAGTGAAAATGTTTATCAAACAGTTTTATTTGCGAGATAGGTTAGAAAAAAGAAAATTCATACTAATACACTACGTTGTTGGCTAGTGTAATTATTAGAGCATGTTAGACTTTTTCCTGAAAAATGAAAAAAAAAAATCAACAAGACCTGCAAGTGAAAACACTTCAATCGTTTACATTTAAAAAGGATCTGTTAGTTTTTTTTTTAAAAAAAAAGGACAGAGTTGACACAGAGTTATCTAGGAAGAAATATTGCGTTATTTTGTTAAAAATGTACATAAAAAAGTATGTTCCGATTTGATAACGCTTGCTCCTCGAAGCGAATAAACGCGGGTCAGGGGTAACTCGAATCCCAGTCCTTACGATCGCAAGACACGAGGAAAAGTCTAGTTCTTCCCTACAAGTACACTTGCTTCCGCAAATGAACTGTAAAACTGAGGATATGCCATTGAAACTTCGTAAGAGCCAACTACTTAAAAATAATTGCATTTTAAACTAATTTTTAAGCTAAGTTTTCTTTAAGAATCCTCTAACTTCGCGCTGTTGTATCAACTAAAACAAATTTAAAATGAGCCCTGATTATATCAAGAATTGTAGAAAGGTGAATTTTCTATGACAAAATTGTTTTCAGTAAAACCCAAAATCAGCGGCTACACCATTCGAGCATCAATAATTTGGTTTATGTTATATCCACGAAAAATTAGCAGAAACTTACTATCTCGCAAGTTCTTTAACTTTGTTATTCAACATTCAATTTATTTTACAGTGTTAATTATAATTTCTAACATTGATGTTAGCTATTCTTAGAAATGTGGGTACTTCTTAGAAAAACACTTCGCTTACAACTGTTTGCAGATTGAATATCATTCCGCTTTTTGAACTCTTCAACGTGATGTAATCACGTATGGGAAGCTCAGAACCCAACTTGGCGTCGAGAAAGTTGGAAAACTGGCATGTTTTTTTTTCAATAGTTAACTGTTAGTTGGTTATTTTCGAAAACAACATACAATATGCCAACCCCGTCTCGCGTTATTCTAGCATATTTATAAGAAAAAAATATCAACTTGAAGACTCAAGACTACCATGCCTACAGATGCGTGTACAACTTACAGGCTAAATCCACAATCCAGAGGCCCTTGGATACAGCTTCGAGGTACTTCAGGGTCCTTTGACACGCCCTCCTCCCTCCACTCTCTGAATCTGGTACCCTCTTTACTACCAGATGTGTCGTCTGGTCAGTCACCTGCTTCCCACAAACCCCACCCAGTTTTTTGCACACCGACTTCACTGTAAGCTTAAACGTACAAAATAATGATACTAAACTGAACAGCAAAAGGCATGCTTTAAACACAATTATGCCAATGTATATAAGCGCAAATAAACTTAGTTTATCAATCATATGTAGAGTTTGAAAATGTATCTCATGCTTTATTTTATTGTTTCCATATATACAAAACTTCGGTCAAAGGTTTAATTTATCCCATTGACCATAATAAAGTTTTATCACTTTGTATGATTTAAACCAAATTATTAGTATTTGAGACACCATAATATCGGTAAATACACAGAGGCGAAGCGGCGCTTTGCAAACTTCCGGTACAATTAAAAAAAATGCATTGCAAGATATTGAAAGTCACATTTTTAGAAAATACAGCAGAAAAAATAAATCGATAAAATTTTATCTACAAAAATTTCATATCTTTGGTTCAGATGACGTTCGTAAAGAGCCGTAGCAAGCAATGACAATCAAAAAACGAGCGTCAAATAAGGCTAAAAATAACTTGGTCGACCCTCATTGAGCCGAAAACGAAACTAGAGTTTAAAAAAATCAGGTTATATTTATAAAATCAAATTTTAAGAACCATCACACATCCCGCTGTTTTTATAGAACGTTATTCAAAAAAAAGAGTCAAAAAATCAACTTTTTGAACTTTCTGAGGGGTGGAACTTTCTGTGGAGTGCCGGAAAAAATTGGTCGTAGCCACTTATGCGGGGAAGTTTCCACAACCCGTGCTTTTTATTGGACCCAAAATATCAGATTTGTGATGGGTGCTTTTTATTGAACCCAAAATTTCAGATTTGGGATGGTAGTTTTCGAGAAAAAAAATCCAACACAGGAGAAGAGGAGTTTCGCACCACTTGCGATAAAAACATAAAAAGCCGAAATGAAAGATGTTCAAAAAGAACTCGTTCATAAAAAACTTCATATGTCTTGATAGAAGTACATTCCAGGCAAACATGCCAGACATTTGAATTTTAAAACAGCAACAATGGAACAAAATTCACGAAAAGAAACAACCGACAATCTTTGAGCAGACACAAGTTGAGCCGAAAAAAAATAGGATTTTATATTAAAAAAAAAGTTTAAGGTCCCACCTTAAACAACACTTGCACTTGCAACTACAATGAAATTTCTTTACAGCACATGGTGAATTAGTGTGTGGCACCTAAGCCAACAATCTTTGAGCTGAAACCACTTGTACCGAAAAAAAAATAGTTTTTGATTTTACAAGTCCCCCATGAAATTAGAATGAACAGCGATTGCAATTGCAACTACAATGAAAGTTGCTTACAGCAAAAAAAATCAGTGATGTAGCAAGTAAGCCGACGATCTTTGAGCACACATCACACTTGCAACTTAAATGAAAACCCGTTGCGGCGATTTAGCCGACAAAATTTGAGCGAACATTCGAAAAACCAAATATGCATTTTTCTTTCAAAATTTTTTTTCCAATTTCCTTGATACTGAAAAACAAGGTCCGGTCACGACTCAAATCCAGACCTTAGGGCAACTGATTTAACTCCAGGACAAGGGGGAAGCAACCTGAAGATGTTAAGAGAAGAGAAGTAAGAAGTCAGCTGCATAGTCAGCAAGTGATTCAACTGATTTTGCTAGTTGTTAGCTAGAAAAAAGTATATATTCCAGTTTCATAACGCTTGCTAATCGCAAGCTTAATAAACTGTCGAAAATTCCTCCCACACAATTTTTAAAGGCTGTGGAAAGGTAAATTGGTAGAACGAGACAAGTGAATTATGCAGGAAGGCAGAAGAGAGATCGGTCTTTTTATTGGAACCATTGTTTTGAAAATCGGTGATGAATTTTTTAGAACCAATAAAGTTTTCGAAAAATCTTCCAAAGCCTATCAAAAAAATCAAAAACCAAATCCCATACATTTTCAAAATAACTGTTTTTATCAAACAGGAACTGCTAGATTTAGAAAATTTTAAAAAAAACGAAGCGTTGAAAAGAAACTGACTGAAAAAAATAATTTGCATTTGAAAAAAAAAACTGAAAATCAGCCGACAGAAATGAGGACGAAAACCAAAAATCCAAAAAATCAACATTTTTTCAATGCATATGTTTGAAAAACTAATTACTACCTCAAATGAATTAGGAAGTAGTTTTATTTGAATTTTCAAGAAATTGAGCATGTCTGCTTAATTTGTGTAGAAGTTGAAATGATTGAAGGATATAATTTTACCATTATCATAAAGCAACACTTACCATTTCTTTCTTCTCCAAAGATGACATAGACAACACTACTTTCCTCATGACATGTTCCTCGCCAATCACACTCTGCTGCTCAACCGGCGGCGTCTCTTCATGGCGTACGTTTCTCGCGTAAGGCGTCTGGTTTCGTTCTACTTGACACGGTTGACTTGTCAAATTTTTCTCCGTGAACACCTTTGAGCTGTTTAAATCAACATTTTCTTCCACTTTGTCGCAATTAGTTACTGCTGTATCAGCATCATTTACCATTTTAATCTTTTCGTTCTTTTTCGTTTTTTCGGACACACTTTCATCTAATAAGAGAAAAGACGAAATAAATGCTGAGTCACCAAGAGCTTGATCTTCGTTTTCAACGGTTGCAATTTCTACGTTATTTGTCCGTATTTCACTTTCAGCTTGATTCATGCCTTCTGCTGCCATAAACAACGAGTCAAAACTACTCGAAAAGACTTCGTTCGGGGTATCTTTTGTCTCATTGTCAACTTTGCTTCTTTTCTGGTGTATTTTTTCAGAACATCCTGAAACGTCAGTGGCTCGTTGCCTCTTAGTAGCCCTCTTCGGGGGTGTCATTGACTGCATGGTGTTCCCTTTAATTGGAGAAGCACCAGAATTACTACTGACTTGTTTCTTCAACTTCGCCAACGCACTCTCCCTGGGAGAAGCCTGCGATTCGACTTCAGCTGCGCTTGTAGTGGGTTGTGGCGTCCTCTTTTCATTTATCTTTTTCTTCGTTTTAGGTGTTGCCTGTGTTTGCAGAAAAGATATAACACTCGCCTGTGATTTCTCAATTTCGGGTTCTCTCGAGGCAGTATACGTAGGATATTCCAACTGAGTAGCTGAAACACCAGTTTTTTCTTAATTTCAAATAATATAATCCATTATTTACCTCAGTTAACGAGATAAACTGTATTTCTCTATTTTATAACCTGTATAGCATAATTATTGGCATCGTTTCACCCTGAGTGTTGACTGAAAAATCTGGGCTCATGTGATCAATCCCCCCCCCCCTTAATAGACCAAGTGAACAATCTTCCCCTGAATTGAATAGCAAATTGGAAACTATGCTCAAATCTGATTGGCTGAAAAATATTACTTTCACCAAGTGAACAACCTCCTCTTAAATTGGATTGTTCACTTGGTACAAAATCTGCAGCATATTTCAACTTACAGACAGCAGGCTGATTGTTGGATGCCATGTCCTTCAAAGACTCCACAAAGAAACTCTCATTCAGCACTAATTCATTCACACTTCCCCCTATTGCGCTCTCGTTCAAATAATCCGGCTTTTCGTCGCTCATTAACTGCTGCGTCAAAGTTTTTAAGTCCTGCAAATCGGCTTTGAGACCTGATTTCTTTACACTCGGGGCAATATGAACTTCGTTATTATGATTATTATTATTATTAGAAACATCACTGGCATTAAATCGCATTAATTCTTCGGTCATTGCTTCAGAATCTGTAGTCCTTCTAGAATTATCAGTTTGAGCTGCAACATCTTGACCCCATTTTAGGTCAACTGTTGACGTCTCCTGATTGAATCTATTTTCTTCCGTTTCAGTTTGACATTGCATGTTCCTCGTCTTAACAGACGCTTGGACAAACTTCTTCTGATATTGCACACTTGTCTGAGTTTGTACAGTAATTGCAGTCTTCGCGTTCTGGTCAAAACTAACATTGTTTTGGTTATTCTGCGCGCACTTACAAATGCATCGTTTCATGGCTTCTCGACTCTCTTTGAGCAACTCTGAAATGTCTTCTCTTAGTTGTTCCAGATATTCAATATCTTTGGCATGAGTCACTTTTGCAACAGTCGCCGGACTGAAACTCTGAGCGGTAACAGATTTTCTTTTATCATGAGTGTTATGACTGTTATTAATATTTTGATTATTATTATGATCATCATTATTATGATTATTATTATCATGATTATGATTATTATTACATCTACTCGTATTTTGAGAAATTTCTTTGATAGGAGCATTGTTATTCGTGGACTTGAGAATAGATACAACAGAAACAGATGGCTCTACCTTGTCGAGGACACTGATTTCACAAGTGCCCTTAGGGCTTTCCAAATCTTTCGTTGGTGTTCTAATATCAAAGCTAGGAGTAACTTTCTCTTTCAACTGCATTTCCGTTTCCGGCAAATTACAGGAAGACTTTTTCGAATTTCTTCGCAGTTGTGCAGTGCGCCGTTTGGCGGTAATTAATTTGACATTATGTTCACTGGTCAAACTATCTTCTGATGAGTCGGAATTCAGAGACCGGGATCCATTTACGGAAGATCTCTCATCTGAAGTATTCGTTGAGTCGGCGGAACTATCGCGGGGAAAAGCTTGCTGCGTACAGAGATTTAAATCGCTACGCTCGATTCTTGAGAACTCCTCGTTCAACTGAATATGTTCTTTAATCGGTATTTGATGTCGAATTGTGGGTTTGAGACTCTCATTTTGGTGTTTCTCGTTCATATGTTTTGTTAGGTTCCTCTCTAACACATAGGTTTTATTGCATACTTGACACGTGAATTTCGTTTCCTTCATGTCTGAAAGCGAACAGAATATTTTCAACTCAGATATGGCAATTTAGTCAATGTTACGACCATTGAAAATGGGGAAGAACTTTGTATTCGGGTGTTTTAGCTTTCTTTTTTCAACTTTTTGTGTTTTCCGCATAAAATCAAGTACCACAATTAATCATCGGACAGTGTTGAGCGATATATCGTATTAAAGCCCTTTTAGTCGTGATTCTAACGACATTGAAAAACTTCCAAGTGTCGAGAAAAACCGGTTTGAATTTCAGATTTTTCGTCTATTTTCGAGCGCGTAAAGCAATCGAGTAACGTTTGTGTTATATGAAAATTAGCACTTTAGTCGAAAAAATTTAATTTCACTAAAAAAAACTAACATTTTTCTATATTTTTATTTGTTTCTTTATAGAAGACAGTTGAAGCCGTTAAGCTTAATTCGCTAAATTTCTACGCGTTCGTATAGTTGCACAAACACACGACGTTCAAATTCAGACACTGACTTGAAAAAAAAAATCTAGGATTGTTGTCGCAACGCAAAATTGAGCTATTTGCACAGCAACCGGATATCCTTGTTTGGTCTTGATCTTAATCGTTTTTTCTTAGTAATTTAAAACTATTGTAAATATTAGCACAAAAACTCAGATGAAAGACTACTAAAGTATTAGTTCAAAACGTTTTCAACGTAACAGAGCTTCGCACGCACCACTTGCCATCAGTGGCGGATTTAGGGGCTTTTCTGACCATTTTTTTTCAAAAAATTGCCTGTGGCGCGAAAATTCTGGTCTTTACAGTGTTCTGATAGTGCTCAGAAAACCCTAGATTCTCCCCTGCTTTCGATAGAAAATGGATGACTCTCATCTCTTAAAGTTCTAGAAATTTAGTAGCCAGGGATTTATGTCCCAAAAGTTGGTCTGATTGATTTTGAGTCACAATTGCTATGTATCAATGACAAGTGCTTTATATTTCTCAAAATCAGAAGTTACACATAAATTTCTCAGAAGTTCCACATAAGTTTTAAAAGGCGATTCTTTAGTCCCAGAGGGTTCTGAAAATCCACTTGATTTGATACTTTGTTAATCAGTATACTGGTCCTGGTGAAGAAACTTTGTTGGCATATCTTCTTCGAAGGAAGTCTATGGTCAAATTTTAGTGACATTGTTGAAAGTTTATGTCGATGATGTGAAATATATTGCAAAAAATTGCTAATATCACAATCATAGTGGTTTTTTAGAAGTTTGGAAATGAGTATCAGCTCCTGCATTTCGATTAATAAGGATAAGTAGTTTGCGCTCTTGCAGATTTCGTTTGTAGTCACTTTGACCAGTAACCCATTTCAATACCTCTTTTGTACGTTTTCCAGTGTTTTTAGATTGGTAATTTTTGTTGAATAACATTGACTGCCGTATATCAGCTTGGATAGAACCATCGATTTGTAAAGATCCATTTTTGAAAAATTTGGAATATTCCTGCAACTTCTTTTTAACATAAACAAAACTTTCAATGCATTGGTTGAAGAATAATTACACTATTCATTCCATTTGAGGCCGTTACATATAAAATACCAAGATCTTTTTAGCAGTACGACTTTATTATCTCTTTTCAATTACAAAAAATGTTTTTTTCCGGCAAAATAATTGAAATATTTTTGCATTTATCAATATTTAAAGGTAATCGGTGCTATTCTCTCCATTTGAAGACTCGAGATAAATCTATTTGAAACTCGAAATTCGAATAGTTTATGGATATAAATTGGGCGTCATCTGCGATTACCTTTAAATATTGATAAATGCAAACATTTCAAGTATTTTGCCGGAAAAACATTTTTTGTAATTGAAAAGAGATAATAAAGTCGTACTGCTAAAAAGATCTTGGTATTTTATATGTAACTGCCTCAAATGGAATGAATAGTGTAATTATTCTTCAACCAATGCATTGAAAGTTTTGTTTATGGTAAAAAGAAATTGCAGGAATATTCCAAATTTTTCAAAAATGGATCTTTACAAATCGATGGTTCTATCCAAGCTGATATACGGCAGTCAATGTTATTCAACAAAAATTACCAATCTAAAAACACTGGAAAACGTACAAAAGAGGTATTGAAATAGGTTACTGGTCAAAGTGACTACAAACGAAATCTGCAAGAGCGCAAACTACTTATCCTTATTAATCGAAATGCAGGAGCTGATACTCATTTCCAAACTTCTAAAAAACCACAATGATTGTGATATTAGCAATTTTTTGCAATTTATTTCACATCATCGACATAAACTTTCAACAATGTCAATAAAATTTGACCATAGACTTCCTTCGAAGAAGATATGCCAACAAAGTTTCTTCACCAGGACCAGTATACTGATTAACAAAGTATCAAATCAAGTGGATTTTCAGAACCCTCTGGGACTAAAGAATCGCCTTTTAAAACTTATGTGGAATTTCTGAGAAATTTATGTGTAACTTCTGATTTTAAGAAATATAAAGCACTTGTCATTGATACATAGCAATTGTGACTCAAAATCAATCAGACCAACTTTTGGGACATAAATCCCTGGCTATTGTAGCCGAAAGCGTAATAATATATACTGTTCAATTCTGAGGCTTCAATGCGAAATAGTTGACAAGAAGACGGATTACTAGCGTTTTTCCTCAAACAATTACACAAATGACATCAATTTGACCTTACACGTGTTTACACAGATTGATCATGCTTTTAATGTTGTACACTAAAAAAAGTTAAGTTGTTAGAAAACGAATTTGGAGATAGTGAACACTCGATTATAGCATTTTTAACATATAACTCAATGTTCTAATTTTTAAATTCTGACTTTTGATGACCATTTTGGATTAATTCTCACCGCTTACTTAAGTATCTTTTTTTCTGATGATTCTATTAGAGTTCTTATATACAATTGCGGGAATCCCGTCCGGGCTTTTGCCTTTTTGTCCAGTCCAAGCATATTGATCTGATAGTGATTTCCGATATGTCGAAATCAGTGATTTCAAGTAAATTAGCATAGTCATGGGTAGAGTAAATGTGTTACAAAAAAAATAAAAGAGAAAAACTGGAAAACAATTCAGCTTGCATAAAGGGGTCCTTTGCGTGTTTTGTTTTCAGATAAACAAAAGATGGTAACCTTTTATTAAAGGACCGAGAATATCTAAATAAATCATTGTAGATCTGTTATTAGCTAGGTTGCTTTCAAATTCGGTTGGGTCCCCCTGAATCATCTATAAACATTGGTTTTGTAGCAAAAATATTTTGTTAAAGTTAACACCTTGTTTAATTTGAGCGTTTTTAAGTTTTTGAGTATATTTGGTGTGACCGGTTCGATTCATGTTGCTAAAGACGACCGATGAGCTGCTCTACGCGTACCTGATTTACTAATAAAGTATTTCGAGTACCACGCATACCTTTGGTCTAGGAGAATATTGGAATTGCTCCAACGAACACCTAAGATAGGCTTATCTATTACAAGCTCGTTTAACCGATTGTAATCTCCACTACAGCAGCTGAATTTTGTAATTCTTCTAATTGGTCTTGTAAAACTTGATGCATACCGATGCTATATACACAAATAACTCCTACATTAATTGACAAATGATTCCGATGCAAAATTTAGAAATAACTCCTATATAAATTGACATATGATTAAGTTTACCAGTTGTTTTTTATAAGATTGTTTTTCAATATATTTACTAATGAAAACTTTGTCTAGGGTACCGATTGCACACGTGTTAAAGTCAACTATTTGCTCCATGTCTTTTTCTATAATTAAATCTATGAAACTTTGCTGCGAGGCACCGTTTGATGAGTAGTCATCCCATTGCACCTTATCTCTATGTCATAAATAACAGGAGTGAGTCGTTCCTAAGTTTGGTAATAAGGACAATCGTCCAGAGGGTTATAAACTAAAATCAGTAATATTTTTTCCATTTATTAGAAACAGATATCCTTCAATTGTACCAGGAATGCGTAGGATCGATAATTTTACGGTTAGGAACGTAGAAATGACTCCAATTAGAACACCCCCATATAAAGAAAAGTCAGGTGTGTGTCTTGCGGAACAGAAAAATCTGAAATTGGTAAGAAATAGTTTTTCGTCTTCAAAATTATCTGTCAGCAATGTTTCGACAAAGAAGAAATCGAAACCAAATGTATTGACGAAGTTGGCTAATTTTTTCCTTTTATCGAGATTGATCATGCTTTTAATGTTGAACAATAAAAAAGTTAAGTTGTTAGAAAACGAATTTGGAGATAGTGAACACTCGATTATAGCATTTTTTACATATAACTCAATGTTCTTATTTTTAAATTCTGACTTTTGATGACCATTTTGGAGTAATTCTCACCGCTTACTTAAGTATCTTTTTTTCTGATGATTCTATTAGAGTTCTTATATACAATTGCAGGAGTCCCGTCCGGGCTTTTGCCTTTTTGTCCAGTCCAAGCATATTGATTCAATAGTGAGTTCCGATATATCGAAATCATTGATTTCCAGTAAGTTAGAATAGTCAGTGGGTAGAGTAAATGTTTAACAAAAAATATAAAAGAGAAAAATTGGAAAAAATTTCAGCTTGCATAAAGGGGTCCTTTGCGTGTTTTGTTTTCAGATAAACAAAAGATGGTAACCTTTTATTAAAGGACCGAGAATATCTAAATAAACCATTGTAGATCTTTTATTAGCTAGGTTGCTTTCAAATTCGGTTGGGTCCCCCTCAATCATCTTTAAACATTGGTTTTGCAGCGAAAATATTTTGTTAAAGTTAACACCTCGTTTAATTTGGGCGTTTTGAAGTTTTTGTGTATATTTGATGTAGCAGGTTCGATTCATGGTGCTAAAGACGACGGATGAGGTGCTCTACGCGTTACTGATTGACTAACAAACTATTTCGAGTACCCATGCATACCTTTGGTCCAAGAGAATATTGGAATTGCTCCAACAAATACCTTGGAAAGGCTTATCTATTACAAGCTCGTTTAACCGATTGTAATCCCCACCACAGCAGCTGAATTTTGTAATTCTTCTACTTGGTCTTGTAAAACTTGATGTATAGCGATGCTATATATACAAATAACTCCTTAACGAATTGACATATGATTCTGATGCTAAATTTACAAATAACTCCTATATGAATTGACGTATGATTAAGTTTACCAGTTGTTTTTTTAAGCTTGTTTTTCAATATATTTACTAATGAAAACATTGTCTAGGGTACCGATTGCACACGTGTTAAAGTCAACTATTTGTTCCATGTCTTTTTCTATAATCAAACCTATGAAACTTTGCTGCGAGGCACCGTTTGACGAGTAGTCATCCCGTTGCACCTTATCCCTATGTCATGAATAACAGGAGTGAGTCGTTCCTAAGTTTGGTAATAAGGACAATCGTCCGGAGAATTATAAACTAAAATCAGTAATATTTTTTCTATTTATTAGAAACAGATATCCTTCAATTGTACCAGGAATGCGTAGGATCGATAATTTTGCGTTTAGGAACTTAGACTTGACTCCAATTAGAACTCCCCTATATAAAGAAAAGTCACGTGTGGTTCTTGCGGAACAGAAAAATCTGAAATTGGTGAGAAATAGTTTACAGAAAAATCTGAAATTGGTGAGAAATAGTTTTTCGTCTTCAAAATTATCTGTCAGCAATGTTGCCACAAAAAAGAAGAAATCGAAACCAAATGTATTGACGAAGTTGGCTAATTTTTCCTTTCATCGAGATTGATCATGCTTTTAATGTTGTACACTAAAAAAAGTTAAGTTGTTAGAAAACGAATTTGGAGATAGTGAACACTCGATTATAGCATTTTTTACATATAACTCAATGTTCTTATTTTTAAATTCTGACTTTTGATGACCATTTTGGAGTAATTCTCACCGCTTACTTAAGTATCTTTTTTTCTGATGATTCTATTAGAGTTCTTATATATAATTGCGGGAATCCCGTCCGGGATTTTGCCTTTTTTGTCCAGTCCAAGCATATTGATCTGATAGTGAGTTCCGATATGTCGAAATCAGTGATTTCCAGTAAATTAGGATAGTCATGGGTAGAGTAAATGTGTAACAAAAAATATAAGAGAAAAACTGGAAAACAATTCAGCTTGCATAAAGGGGTCCTTTGCGTGTTTTGTTTTCAGATAAACAAAAGATGGTAACCTTTTATTAAAGGACCGAGAATATCTAAATAAATCATTGTAGATCTGTTATTAGCTAGGTTGCTTTCAAATTCGGTTGGGTCCCCCTCAATCATCTTTAAACATTGGTTTTGCAGTGAAAATATTTTGTTAAAGTTAACACCTTGTTTAATTTGGGCGTTTTGAAGTTTTTGAGTATATTTGATGTGGCAGGTTCGATTCAGGGTGCTAAAGACGACCGATGAGCTGCACTACGCGTTACTGATTTACTAATAAACTATTTCGAGTATCCATGCATACCTTTGGTCTAAGAGAATATTGGAATTGCTCCAACAAATACCTTGGATCGGCTCATCTATTACAAGCTCGTTTAACCGATTGTAATCTCCACTACAGCAGCTGAATTTTGTAATTCTTCTATTTGTCTTGTAAAACTTGATGCATACCGATGCTATATATACAAATAACTCCTACATGAATTGACATATCATTCCGATGCAAAATTTACAAATAACTCCTATATGAATTGACATATGATTAAGTTTACCAGTTGTTTTTTATAAGATTGTTTTTCAATATATTTACTAATGAAAACATTGTCTAGGGTACCGATTGCACACGTGTTAAAGTCAACTATTTGTTCCATGTCTTTTTCTATAATCAAATCTATGAAACTTTGCTGCGAGGCACCGTTTGATGAGTAGTCATCCCATTGCACCTTATCCCTATGTCATAAATAACAGGAGTGAGTCGTTTCTAAGTTTGATAATAAGGACAATCGTCCGGAGGGTTATAAACTTAAATCAGTAATATTTTTTCCATTTATTAGAAACAGATATCTTTCAATTGTACCAGGAATGCGTAGGATCGATAACTTTGAGGGGCACCTGATAATATTTTTTGAATTGTCCGTTCATTTGGTACCTTTACAAGTAATTTACGCGGTCTGTTTAAACTCGGTTTCCACTTTCTCAAACGGAATCAAATGAATAGTGACAATCAAAGTCTCTTCTGCACCTAAATGACACAACAACTCGTTTATCTTTTTCGATTCATATTCAATAATGTTTGCGGGCAAAGGTTTTTCTTTCAAGTCATATTCTTTATCCCGGAGACCCTTTTTTTCACTAGAATGAAGCGCCATGTCATTCTTTTTAATTATGTTAGAAGTTTTAATGGATGTATGCAAGGCTGTTCAAAAATTAATGGGAGGAAAAATTAACGGCCATTAATGGATGGCCATTAATGGATTTTTTTATAATCAAAATGGCATTAATGGATTTTTGATTCGAAAAATTAAAGGCCATTTCCGTTATTTCAGAGAAAGATGTTTTGTGCGGTGGAAAGTGGAACTCCAAACAAAGTGTAAACAAAGTGAGCAAACAAAGGAGCAAACAAAGTGAGCTGAGCAGCTGACGGCAGATTGTTTTACAACGCGGTTCCAGCAAATCATGCCGCCCAATTCCGCTTCAGCAAGCGAATCGTTAACCAATATTTTGTTGTCTCGTTGCTCAATGCTCGGGAAAACCAGAAAGTGTTGGAAGTTCACGAAAACTTGAGAATTCTCGATTCAGTAACTTTAACTCTACAGCGGGAATCTATCGACTTATCATCGACCAGACTTCGCGAAAGACAACTGCGACGGAGTACATGAGTTGAAAGTTTTTGGAGCCAACCTCGAATTTTATTGAAAGATTTTTCAGCGCAGCTGAGTATTCTCTGGGTGACCTGCGGCAGTCAATAACCCCTTTACATCTCGAAGAACAGCTCTTTTTTAAAGCCAATGCACGAATGTGGAAAGTTGAAACCGTCAATGACGCTCTTCAAGAAGAAAACTGAGAAAAATTTGAACTGAACGCCATTAATGTATTTTTAATTTTCTCCATTTCCGTTAATTGATTTTTCGCTGAAATTTAATTTTTCAATTGAAAATTAATTTTTGAGCAGCCTTGGATGTATGTAAGCTAACTTAGCTTGAGTTTCGACTATGGCTACTTTTATTTCTTTTAAAGCAACAGATGTCTGAGGGTGTATCATCTCGACTGATCAACTTTTTCATCGAAGAATGACGTTTTTTACACAACCAAAAACAACCTTCCAAGCTCATGTAAGACCGTTTTTCTTTGGGAAATTTAGTACATCTTGAGTGGACCCAAGAACAATACTTATCACATCGGATTGATTGATCAGAATCGGCAACCAGATTCGTGCAATGAGGACACAATGCATCATTATCTGAACAACTGTTTAGTCGCCGTGTACTGACCATCATTCAATTATCTATTTAATAAGTTTACTGGTCCTGGTGAATATGACGAATCAACAAGCGTTTTCGCCATCTCGATAAGTTAATTTTGTCATACTCTTATTTAGCTCGAGACATGTAAATTAATTCCGCTGTTAATTTGTTAAGTGATATTTTCCAGTGTAATGCGTTCCATCATTGTAAATTAGGTGAAGTTGCTTATTTTAGTATCTTTAGAAATGAAGCTTAACTGCCAGCAGACTTTGAAAACCAAAGGTTAGACAGATTCAATTTGAAATAAGGATAGCCGGTTACTGTGCAAGTAGCACAGAATGGTCCGACCAGTCTTATAAAACAAACACATTTTTTTTCAAAATGGTGTCGTTTTTTTGCATGTTGTGATATAAAGATCTGAACGAAAAAGTAGAATTTATGCATAATTGAGAATCATAGTAAAATAGGTCAATTGGAAAACAGTTTTTGAAGTAAAATTACTAGGAAAAACGAAAAAAAAAATTCAAATTTTTGATTCCTAAAATTGCGATAAAAAACTCCAAAAACTACCTTTACTTGAGTAAAACTAAGTTTTTATGGCTTAAATTAAGCTAGAATAAGCTTTTGCAATTAATAACTGCCTTACTAATTAGCTCGAAAATAGAATCAAATCAAAAACTTACACCGGTTTTTCTCGACACACATTTTTTGAAATTTTGTAATGTCGTTCAAATCACGATTGAAAGGGCTTTACAATGATATATCACTCAACCCTGTCCGATGATTTTTTGCGATAGCTGATTTTGCTAAAAAAAAACTAAAACACCCGAATCCAAAGTTCCTACCCATTTTCAATGGTCGGAACAATAAAAGTTTTTGAAATATTTAAGAAAGGATTCCAAACGATTTGTCTGGCTATAATAATCAGGTAGAAAGCTCAAAAAGGGCAATCAATTTGATTTCAATTTAGCACATTAACATCATTGACCACCATTTCAGAGGTTTAGGAGAAAGAAATCGACTTGCCTGTTGAATCACTCAGAAACTTCAGAATTTCGTCTGCCTCTTTCTTTCGATTTTCTAGACTCAAATTTGCCCTAAAGCAAATGAATGTTCCGTCAAAACTATAATAGTGGGAATACACAAGCTATTCAGGAAACCCACCTGGCAATTCTTGGACTAGGAATATTGTGATTCATAAGCAACATGAAACAAATGTCTGAAAAGTGAAAAATGAGTCTTCAAGCATACCGGTTACTGCGCAAGTAGCACAGAATGTTCCGACCAGTCTTATAAAAAAAAGAACACAAAACGTTTTTTTCTTCACATTGTGCTCTTTTTTTTCTGCATGTTGTGGTAAAAAGATCGGAACGAAAAAGTAAATTTATGCATACCGTTAGCTCGTCAGAGCAAACTTTGCTTCGCAATAGTACTCGTGCAAGTGTCTTTCACGGCAATGTTCTATTAAAAATAACCAGTCGCTACTGGTTGTCCCTTGCTTGCCCTAGGAAACTACTTGACTAAGTCTTACTAGTCTTTCATCCCTGTATCAACTTTGTTTTGTTGGTCGGCAACAAAATGGCACCCAAGTTAACAAACTTGTGAACAAATGGCACTGTCGATATCATTCAATTGAATAATTTGATATAAGAAATTTAAAATGTTATTTCAAACGTTTTCGCACATTTTGTGCATGATCAGGATTAACTGTTAGACTTATGTTCATCGCGTGGGTTGATTCTCGGCCTCTCCTTCCAAATATGCAAAGTCTCTAGTGTGAGTAGCTTCTGAGTGTTGGCTGTTTTGTCTATAATCTCTGACTTCAGCTCAGCAGTACCGCCTACCTCCTTATTACATTCTAACAAGTGCTGCCCTACTGGGGGGTGTCCTTTTTAGTGTTCATCGACCCTCGTGGCTAAATTTGGGACTGTATGGCGGACATTGATGGAGTTACGTCCAATACATGTAAGCTTATACACCACTTTGGATCTCAGTTCACGAGCAAAGGAAGTTTCGAGGGAGGGCAAGCATGTTTTCAATTTTCTTGTTGTAAAATTTATTTGTGCCCTGAATATTTGTCGAATCTTTGCACTGCACTTGACACCAGCACCACCTTCCCACTTGGCTGGTCACCTCTTCCAGTCAAGTCTCCTAGTGGTCCGGTTCAGTCCTTGTAAACCACTTTCACACTCGGCTGGTCACCTTTTCCAGTCAAGTCTCCTAGTGGTCCGGCTAGGTTGCAAGCTATCTGAAAACCCTTAACAACGCCCCCAACTCGGGCACCTTATTGAAGTCACTGGTTTAGACTGCTAGATTGATCGAAACCATCGGTCTTATAAAACAGTATGGGTATACTATTTAATTAATATAAAGGTTTGATCCAACTGATCTGGTATTAAAGTCACTGTCTTTTTTGTTTTATGGTTTTTGTTCCTTTTTCTATATTTTTTTCTTGTTTTTGTTTCGCTTTTTGTCTTTTTGCTCGTGTTTTTGTCCCCCTAGTTACCCCGCCCCCCTTACTCGGTTAGCTAGGCCTCGTTCGGAGAGCGTACCAGGAAGTTTTCTCAAGTTTTCTTTAAAAGCTATCAAGGTACAACCGAAAGGTTTACACGTTCCCGCTGAACTGTTCCACCGGTACTCTAGAATGGGCATGCAGCCCGGAGCTGTGTCAAGTGGGTTCGACTCCGTAGTCATGATGTCGTGAAAACACCCAGGAGCGCCATAAAAACACTATGTAACAGTCGCCTACTTCGGTCACATATGAGCCTTAAGAAAAATAGGCCCTATAACTATTGGCTCAAGAGTCAGGGACACTACCTCTTGTGTTTTTCTACCTCAAAAACGGTCGGAGCCAATTCGGTTCGCTTGCGACATGAGACTAGAACCCGTTACAGCTTAAAGGCTACTACCAAAATATCCCCCCACTCTAGAAAATAAGAACGTTCCCATACTTAGGTCTCGAAATACCCAAAATACACGAACGCCGTTAAAAACAGTGTCAGAACAATCCGTTCCGTTAAGTTACTTTTTATTGGACAGTGGAACTTTGATCCATTTCAGATGGATCAACCTAAAACTCGCCTTATCTCAACTTAACAATCATAAAACACACTCGAGAAAACTAAATTTGGAACTCACATGTCGACACACTCGAGAATAGGGAGTAATTAAATTGATGAGCAACTCGAGAATTAAATAAAATAACTTGAGAAGTTCAATACTGATCAGTTTTAATAAAGGAAATAAGTTTTGACTCTAGAATTGAAGTTTTAGTCTGAACCATTGGGACACTCCAGCTGTCCACCTTTCCATTGAAGGTTCACTCTGGTTCAGTTCGAATAATTGTACTCTTCTCTCGTGATTATCTCGCCTCCTATTTCAGGATAAGACGGCTCTACTCGTGTCTTATTTTGTATATGGAAATTGCCAATAGCAATTTTCTGCTGTTTTCTTAAGTACTTTCCCGCTATTGTTAATTCGGTCGTTCTGATTTTTCATTTTATGTTTTCAGTTGTCGCGAGAAAACTGAGCATGACAGGCTCCATTCGAAATTTTGAAAAATAAAACTTCACTCCAAAATCACGTATATTCGTGTCCCTCAAGGTCAAACGTCCTGATATGACCGACTGGCACATACTCCCCGGACTCAAGATTGATGTCCTCATCGCGTGCTGCCTCTGTCAGTGAGTCCCCAGAAACCCGAGTGTCACTCAAGATACAGTGCCAGTGGTCATTTACAGAAGTATGCAGCAGACTTAAAATTATCTACACCCCAAAATTCACAACCATATAAAATTTTCACACTATCGCTAAACAGCAATCAAAATTTGCACACACCTGCACCTGTGAATTCTCGCTTTTTAAGCTAGTAATTTAAAATTTCTTTTGTCCTATTCAATCAGGAAATTGTCATGCAGCATTTTGATTTATATAATAGATATAGCATATTAATAACAACATCTCATTTGTTAAAATTTCTTTTTGGTTAACCCAGATTTCATCCGAGTTCACCCTCGAGCCCCCTCCCTCTCAAGACTCAAGACTCTAGAATTCCCTTTTTGAGCCACAGGCTCACCTTGTGTTCTTCGCCTTCGAGGTACCAGACCCAGATACATTTGACACCGTGATCTGCTTCAATAGTGCCTCTTCATCATCGGAGCTGATCACAATCTCCTCCCAAGCCTTCAGCTGTTCATAGGATTGCATCCACTCCCTTTGCTCCTGCAATCTCTTCGCTTGAATCGGCAAGCTCTTCACCTTCGACTCTCGGTTCAAACAGAAGGAATTGTGAAGACTCAAGCTTACATTCTTCGCCAGGTCTTCATCTAGTATCGACTCCATCGCTCTGGTTTTGTTTCTGGATACTCTACCCACTTTTTTCCACCCCGTCGTGATCGCATTTCGATGGGTCAGCAGAGGTCTCTTGAAGGCCTCTGGTCCTATCTCAGCCTGGAACTGTCGATATTCCTTTTGATGTTTCCTCATATGATCCTTCGTTACCATGTATAACCAGGACGTTAACGTCGCACGAAACCAAGGAAAGAACCTTAAGCGGCTCCACACGTGTCTGATTTCCATTGGTATGGCAAACACCTTGCATGTGGTCTCCAACAACTCAAGTCTCCTGCTGTAATTTATCGCGTGAATCTACTCTGCCGTTGGCGTCTTCGATTCCCGATACTTTGCTATATTTTCTTCAATCCATCGTAGGGCCAGCATCGTGCTCACCACTAAGATGATCACCTTTTGCTGATGATCGGGCAGTCCCAACGACCTGATTTCCTCCACATCCCAGATCAGGCAGAGATTGGCGTGGTCTGGGTACCACACTGTTTGCGCCAGACAGTGGCATGGACAATCCCCATGTGTGAAATCGATGCTCCTAAGATTGCGTTCTGCTCCGAGGCTTCTAAGAGAGGCTCAAGTTCCGTCATTTTCTCGTGTATCGCGTCAATCTCTTCCAGGTTTGGAGCACCAACCATGGGTTTCCCGATCACGTTTTGTCTCTCGTGGTCACTTGTGTTTTCACCCTCAAAACCCAGAAGTTCTTCACCCCAGATTTCACTCAAGTCGTCCCTCTGTTCTTTCGGCACTGTCCCTCGGATCTTCCTCAACAGCTTGTGTGAATGATGCGACATCCCAGCCAGTCTTACGCATTTGGGCACTGAGAAGGCTTTGTCTATCAATACCCTTTGGCTGGATACTTCCACCATCGCCATGTGTAATGGATAGTGGCTGCCACATAGGTTGGCAATCACCGACCCCACTAAGGACTTCGCATTTAGAGGCAGACCATAGGCTTCGCTCATGGGAAATCCCATCTCCGCTTCAAGTCCAACCTTCCAACTCTTGATGTGTTTCTGGGTCACTTGCAACACCCCGGGCCATGACTCCACGCTCAACGCGGTCACCAAGTGGTGTTCTGACTCTAGCCTCTCCAGTGACTGGAGACTGCACATTCTTCAGAAGAATCCCAGACCTGTTGCTAGGTTCACCTTGGTACTCGCGTAACACTCAGCCACTATCTGACTCTTCTCCCTTTCGGTAATGTCTTCAAACCAGGTGACTAGGTCTTCTTTCTGGAAAGACTGTATCCTGACGCTTGATCGTCCATCGCAGGTATGCTCGCCATTCCCACACGTCGAATCAAGACAACTGCCCGGCTCCATTTTCTTCACCGACCCTAGTCCACTCGTCACTTCACTTGACTCTTTCACCTGAGGCAGGATCAGTCTATGCACTACACTCAATGTCGCCAAATATTCATCCTCGGTCGGTGCTAGTCTCACTCGCTCCGTGACTTCCTCGATCAGGCTCGCATGAGGATGTGGACACCAGGAGGGCCTCAGCAATTTCCACACCACTCCCAGATTCGTGGCTAACATGCCGTTCCCGTTACCCATCTTTAGTTCGACTCTTTTACTTGAGCGCGGCACACTTATTACTTCTGGTGTCTTCTCGAAAATCAAACCTAGGCTAGGTCTCTCTCTCTCTCTCTCTCTCTACAGTGTCTATCTCCACTATCTTCTCTGTCCAGAACTTCAGCAGCTCCGCCACCTCGTAGTTTCTGTGGGCGCCTCCGGCTTCCGAGTCCAAGAAAGGGTTGTATGCCATCCCCATCTTTCCAGACACATACTGGTACTCTCCCTTTTTGTTGGGTTTCAAGTACTACCCTGACGAAGCCAAGTTACGGTGTACATCGTGTTTCTCCTCGAACTTCTTGTTGTAGAATCTC